GAGTGCCAAAGAATCGATGCTTTTGAGTTGTGGTGCTGGATAAAACTATTGACAGTTCCTTGGACTACAAGAAGGTCAAACCAGTCAATCCTAAAGGAAATCAACACTGGATTTGATTCCAATGAATGAATATTCATTGGAAGGGCTGAAGTTCCAATACTTTGACCACCTGATGCAAAGAGCTGACACTGAAAAAAGGCCCTGATGCTGGGAAAGATTGATAGCAGGAAGAGAAGGAGGCGACAGAAAATGAGATGGTTGGATGGCATCACTGACTCAATAGACATCAATCTGAGCAAACTCTGGGAGATAGTGATAGACAGGGAAGTCTGGCATGCTGCAGTTCATGGGGTCACAAAGAGTCAGACACAACTTAGCAATTGAACAACAATTGCTTTCTGAATTATCTGTGATGCTCTCTTCTGAGCTCTCTCCAAACTATCGGCATCTTTAGCTGAGGAGCTCTGATGGGACCCACTTTTCTAGCAAAGCCCTGACTGGCAAAGACGACCTGTATTCCTTGGCAGAACCCATCAGGAATGGCATCGCTCAGCAGGACACACAGGAGGTGAGCCCAGGTGATGCCTGGCTTCCTGGTATTTTTGCTGTCTTCACTCTTCTGTCTGCAGATTCCCTTTTTTTACCCCCTTCCATTCAGGTATCACAACACCTCAAAGTCCTGGTATATTCCCATTCTGAATGTCAAACAGAGACCAACTTTTCACAATACAAAAAGGGCGCATTTCCAACCCAAGGATAAGGGTATTGAATTACTAAGCTCCTTTGGATAAAGTAGAACAAGAAATACCCCACATTCACTGAATGTCTCAGAAGCAGAGAACAGGGCCTAGAGATAAGGAAAGCAGACTGAGAGGAACCCAATACCTCAGCCACATCACCCAGATACACAGAATTTATAAACCTGTCTAGACACAGGGGGTGGAACCTGCTGCACACCCACTCTGGGGAATAAAACTCATAGAAAACAATCCTGTGCTTACCTGTTAACTCACAGACAAATGCCCAATTCATTGACTAGTACGAAGCCAATCCATTGAACAAATATGTACCAAGCACCTACTATGTACCAGGCATAGGGAACACAGAGAAAAGTAAGACAGTTACTGCTTTCTGGGAACTCAAAATCAATCTGTGAAGAGAGATGTGAATTTAGCCAACACTTACGCAGCACTGACTGTGTTCAGAAGCTTAAAATGCATTATCTATTGAACCTTCCCAGCACCTCAGTGAGGAAGGTGTTATTCTGTCCCCTATTTTGCAGATGAGGAAATCACATCACAGGGAGGGGAAGTGACTAGGGCTGGTAACAATGCTAGTTAAGTGGTGGAGCCGAGCTTCAGTCCCAGGCAAGAGAGCTTCAGACTCTATGTCCTTGAGGTGTGTTCCTGCTCAGCCATTAAGTCATGTCTGACTGTATGCAACCCATGGACTGTAACCCACCAGGCTCCCCCATCCATGAAGTTCCCAGCATTTCCAGAATACTGGAGTGGGTTGCCATTTCCTCCTCCAGGGGATCTTCCCCACCCAGGGATCGAACCCACACCTCCTGCATCTCTTGCACTGGTAGGCGGATTCTTTACCACTGAGCCACCAGGGAAGCCCCTGTCCTTGACAGCTCACCTCTTAAACTGGGAGAGAAGCCAGACTTGAGGCATGTCCAAAGCACTGTAGTGGGCAGAGGACAAAGGAATTCAAGGCACTGAGCTGGAGAGAGCAGGAAGGCTCCTCTGAGAAGGCAGCATGGGAGCTGGCCCCACAGAATGAGGAAGAAAATGTCAGGACATTCTGGACTGGGGGCCAGAGGATTCAGTGAGCTCGGAGGGTCTGGGAAACGTGTGCTTGCCTCTCTAGCTTGAACCTCAGACCAGGAGGGAATGGCCCCAGACAAAGGAGATTGGGATTAGACTGTAAAAACCTTGAATCAAGTTGAGAATCGATCTGCAGGTGAAGGGGGGTGGGGGTGAGTGAAGGTGTACGACCAGAGCAGTGACATGAGCGGCAGCAGAGAGAACATTATGCCTGGAAGGCAGAGACCACAGGACAAGTGCTTTTGGGTCTATGGGAATAATATTATTTTTCAATTTTCTTTTTGTAAATTTTTGGCTGCACAATGTGGCTTTTGGGATCTTAGTTCCCTGATCAGGAATCAAACCCAAGCCCTTGGCAGTAAAACCCCAATTCGGAAAAAAAAAAAAAAAACCCAATTCATACCACTGGACCACCAGGGAACTCTCTGGGAATAGTATTACACTTGATGCTAGCCAAAAGGCCAACAAGCGATAGGGAATAGTATTGATAAGAGAAAAAGAGACTCTGAAATGGAGGACCCAGCAGTGATGGAAAGGAAAGGAAAAGAAAAGAGAGGAAAGGATGGATTCAAAAAGCAAAAAATCAGACAAAACTACTGACCAATCACAAGTTGGACTGATGTGAATCCTATGTTATCCTAGTGAGTAGTCAATCAATAGTGCCATAGATACCTAGGGGAGGGGAATCAGTAAATGAAACACATGGCTAAAGGATAAGAGATTCCTTTCTTAGCCCTGGGACTTTGCCAAGCGTTAAACTCCAAGGGACACACCTGGACACCAGGAGGAAGACACCCTCCTGGCTTGTCCAAGTAGCCCCGTGGGCTTGTAGTAGGAAACTCGCAGGTGTGAAGGCAGAAATCTTATGTATTTATTTTTTCAGGAAGACAGCCAGGCTCCACCTAATGTCAAAAAAAAAAAAAAAAATCACAGAAAGGAAGGAGTAAGTGCAGTGAGACATGTTAAAGGAATTAGGGGCCTTTCCCAGCATGTGGTACAAAGAATGTCTTCTTCTGCCACTTTCATGCTTCTCTGAGCAATTTAGGAGTTTTGCTGCAAAAGACACTGACGTGGTGGTGACTGGTCAGTAGATCCTCTTTGGACCAGTTAATACATGAGTTATATCTGTATTTGACTCTATACTAAAATTAAAATAGCTAATCTACTATTAAAAAAATAAAAAAGCCCTGGAACTTCCCTGCTGGCCCAGTGCTTAAGAATCCACTTGCAATGCAGGGGACAGAGGTTCAATCCCTGGTTGGGGAACTAAGATCCCACATGCCACGGAGCAGTTACTGAGCCCAAGCGCCAAAACTAGTGAGTCCTTGTGCTGCAACGAAAGATCCTGAATGATGCAATTAAGACCCAGTACAGCCAAATAAATAAATGTTTTTAAAAATATAAATAAACAAAATTTAAAAGTCTTGAAATGTTTATATGTATACTCATGTGGAACAGCTGATACATCTGTTTATGCTATGACTACCATCTTAGGTCAGCTTCTCCCAGAAGCAGACTCTGAACCAAGGATTCCTGTGGAAGGGATTATTGAGGAGGTGCTTTCAGGAGCAACCAGGAAGGGAGTGGGGTCTCAGAAAGGGGAAGGAGTCAGCAAGGGCACCCTCTTAGGTAAAGTCCAGATCTTGATCCCATGGACAGCTCTGGAATGTAAGCTGAACCTCAGTTAGTCCTGCCTCCAGACCAAAGAGCTGGACTTTCTTACTCCTATGCTAGCCAGTCATTTTCTGGTACACAGGGTTGAGGGCAGAGGTAGAATATAACTCACAGACACTTGTGGCACTCCATAGGGGCAAAAAACGTCTATGTCCCTAATAGGCACAGAATATTGGCACCAAAGCTACACAAAAGCTGGGAAACTGACCCACGGAGCTGGTAAAGGATGACTGAGATGATTCCGGTGAGCGGCAGCCGTGTCCACTATACACACACAGATACCAAGGGGTACACGGTACATCACTACTCAGGGTAAAGATCTCTGGAACAACAATAATCTTAAACCAGAGTCTGGTAGAAAACAGGGTGAATAATACAGAGAGTCTGATAGAATCAGGTGAAGAAACATTCAATCTACTGATGGAAGAGGCAGGATCTCAAAATTCAAGAGGCTGAAACAAGGAGCAGAATCTGACAAGACGCAGCAAGAATAAATCTACAGTCCTCACCTTGTGTCCAAAATCAACAGCTGCACCAAAACAGGACACAGGAGGCCAGGCTCAGCAGCATCATGTACTAAGGTCATCTGTGCAACTCAGTAGCTCCACAGAGGCCCACCCCTTGTAGACCCAGCACATATCATCTAATTTCAAGATCCCTTCAGAGGAAGGCAGGGTCTGGAATCAGAAAAGCAAAAGTTCTTACTATACTGGCTCCTGGGAAGTGGCCTTTGGTTCTGGTGCCTCAGTTTAAAGGAACAAGGGGTACCCAAATGATTTCAGAAGAATATGACACAGATGATATAAGAACTTGACATTATATAATGAGCGATGTAGGTGGTAGACTTGGGAAAATTTATCCTCTAGGAGAGGGTGGGGTTTGATGACTTCAATTCTTGAAGTGCTGTCAAGTGGCAGAGTGGTTAAACTTGTTCTGTGTAACCCAAAATGTAGAATGGGGCCCAGTAGGTAAAAGCTACAAGGAGATGCAGTTCAATGCAATCTAAGAAATACTGTAATAGCCAGAGCTAGCCAAGAGGAGGGAATAAAGGAAAGAAATGGCTCAGGGTGGAATGACAGGCAGGACCAATTTGTGAGGCAGGCAGGGCATTCCCCATCACTACAGTGTGGTCTCCAAGCCTGGCTGCTGACTAGAGCTATCTGGGGTCTTGATAACAATATATTTCTGGGTCTTGACCCAAGGACACTCTTGATTTCGTGGATCTGAGATGACACCCAGAAATTCACATCCTAATAAGCTTCTCAAACTTTTTCTTATGCCATCACCGAGCATTTCTACAAGGACCAGGGGGAAGACATCTCATCAAGGATGACTAGAGAGAATTCAGGCCTCAGGTGGGGGAGGGGCATAGAAGAGATGCATTATTTCCTTCAGATTCCAGAAATCTGTGACCCTGGGGTTGTGGAATTCTGAACTTCACATCAGGGGAGTCAGGGGAACATTGTTTAATAGACAGAACTCTGGAGCCAAACTAACCTGAGTGTCTCTTAAGGCTCTGCCACACATTAGCTGACGAGTCCTGGGCACGTCATCTCTACTCTCCAAGCCTTAATCTTCTCTCCTGTAAAATGGGAGATAACAGTACCACCTCTTAGAGTCATTGGGAGGCTTGAATGCGAGCGTAAAATATAAATGATATGACTATAGTGCGTCATGAAGTCCCTTAAACTAAAGAAAACCACGAACTGCCTGGTCATTTTGAGGGCAATGCTGAGTGTAAAAGATCCTTTAGACTTGGAACAACTTCTTCAAAGCTAGTATGTTGAGTGTTCCATGCTGGTGCTAATATAAGACCTTTGGAAAAGCCATTCCTTCCCTATATTTGATTTGCTATATTATAAGAGATTAATATAGGGAACTCCCTGGAGGTCCAGTGGCTAGGACTCCATGCTTCTAATGCAGGGGGCCCAGGTTCAATCCCTGGTCAAGGAACTAGATCCCACACACTGCAACTAAGAGTTTGAATGCCCCAACTAAGACTTGGCACAGCCAAAATAAGCAAATAAAATAAATAAATATTTAAAACGAACCGTCAGGGTTAATGCTTCCTTCAAGATTGCCTGGAATACCCTTCTCTGAAAAAAAAAAATGATTATTAATATAGAGAACTTATCTACTCTTAGCATGTAATAAAAGAGGATCATGTAACTTCCAAACAGAACAGCATTCATTATTTTTAATCCTAAGAAGACCAACAATACTCCTTAATTTTGTTTTCTGCCTTTATACCTCTGATGAACCCTTGCAAGTAGGCCTCCACTCACTGTAGCTGCTGAGGCAAGTACACAATTTACTTTAAAACATGACATAGGAACATGAACAGTTATTTCTTTAAGCTCAGTTGACGCTGCTCCAGGTATCGATCTGATCCCGTTCTGCTGTAATGGTCTTTTTGACACTCTGCTAGTCACTCCAGGCAGGGCTTCTGGGTGTGATTGTGAAGGCTGTTTACAGCAGCAGGGCTTCAGGCTGCAAGAGGAGCTGATCCCCTTGACAAGCCGTGTCCTCAACACAGGGCTGTCTGATGGAGGAAGAGTTGCCACTTCTTTCTTTTTTAAATCTCCAATAAAACTTTTTAAGGTTTTTAAACTTTTTTTTAATTTAGTCTTGGGAAATAACCAATTAACAATGTTATGATAGTTTCAGATGAACAGTGAAGGGACTCAGTCATTCATATACATGTATCCATTCTCCCCCAAACTCCCCTCCCATCCAGGTTGCCACGTAACATTGAGCAGAGTTCCATGTGCCATACAGTAGGGCCCTGCTGGTTACCCATTTTAAACACGGCAGTGTGTACATGTCTATTCCAAACTTCCTAACTAAAAGAGATGCCATTCCTGATCCACACACAGCCACCCGGCCCAGTGTGGTCTTGCCTGAAATTCAGGGCAGGGGGAGAGTTGCGGACATGGGTGCTCTGCTCTCTCTGTGTGAAATCCTGCCCCCCGGCAAAAAACATTATTCCTGCCACAGCCTTTCCCAGTTCAGCTAATGAAGACTATATTTCCAGCTGCTCAGGCCAAAATCCCTGGAGTCATCCATGATTTCTCCTTTTAATCTCATAGCTCACATTTATCTATCTGGCTTTACGTCCAAATCGTCTCCAAAACCTAAACCCTTTTCATCAGCAACATTTAAGCCTACATCACCTCTACGCTGGATCCTTGAAATAGCCTCCTAACTGTTCTCTCTACCTCCATCCCCTTACAGTCATTCCATCCACAACACAGAGGCTAGTGATCCTTTTAAATCTACACTCCTCTCTGTACAGACCCTTCCAATGGTTTCATGCTCTTTACATAAAACCCCAAGTCTTGAGCACTTGGTTTTTGTCTAGCTCCCCTAAAATATAGGGTCTGCAAGGGCAAGGATTTCCATCTGCTTTGTTCACTCCTCTAATCCCAGAGTCTACAGCAGTGCCTGGCACAGAATAGACACAAAGTAGGATTATTCCACAGGTTGAGTGGTTTTTGCTATAGTCCCCAGGGATGCCACATGTTCAGATCAGTCCACCTCACATCCCAGCACCTCGGACAGGGACACTGTTGGGATCCATTGCTCACCAGACCTGGGAAAACATCTACTTCTGGTCCAAACCTCTGTGTGATATGGCTATTTCTGCCTGCCCTCTGCAGGTTACCTCCTCCCCTCTCCTTCAAAAGCAAATGTCACCAGTCTCCCAATAAGTCAGGGCTTTAATGAACAAAAGAACTCCTGATCTGGACCTATACAAAAGGCCCTGGAGCAAGGAAACAGAAAGGCTTGGGGAAAGACTGGGAGAAATGGAAAAATATTTGCAGCAGTAAAAACAAGGGACAAATTAATCGCTCCATTGGTTATAATGTGACACAACTTAACACTTGCTTGCACTCACTCAGCCCCGTGTCTCCATCACCCTCCTCCTCTATGAGTGAACCCTGATGGCAGAGACTTCTCACTCATCAGCGTGGGCATCTGTGGTCCAGAGATGAACACAGTACCAATCCCCCCAACCTTGCAACTGGCAGCAGAGCAGAGAGGAACGGAGGGGCCTGGGAGGCTGCAGCCTCTCTTTCGTGGACAGACTGGCTCTTGGCCTTCCACACACAATGTCAGGGTGGCCCCTGCACCGTCCGCTCTCTCAGCTGCGGCAAAATCGCCATGACCCCTCCTGAGAGCCACTCAACTACCTTGCGCCTGTCAGAGCCACGAGCCTGGGGAGGAGTGGGCGGGGTGCTGGGGTTTTCCAAGTCTATCTGGGGTGGATAAGATGGGGTCAGACAGAGTCTGCTCAGAGGGGCATCACTGAGGGTCTGCTAAGAGGGGCACTTACTCCCCCTGCGGGTGCTGATGAGGAGATGGGGTTTAGCTGAGAGAGAGGGAGAGGCTGCGCATGTAAGCACCTTGTGGTCACAGCCCCAGGTAGGCTGAGGCCAGGGAGAGGGAATCCCCGGAGAGGCCCGGGGCTGCAGGCAAGAAGCAGGGCTCAGTGCAGAAGACCAACATGTCCCAGGGAGCCTGGGATTTTCTTTGGCTTTAGTACTGTAAGTTCCGTGTCTCAGGAAACCCCCTTATTCCCAGGCAAACCAGAACAAGAAGCAGGGAGCAAGGCCACACCCCAGTGTGCAGAAGGGACACGGACACGGCCGAGACATGGAACAGTGACACCAGGAGAGTGACCCAGACAGGAGAGCCCAGTTGTAAAATGCAGGATGGATGAGAGAAATTGAGCTCAGAAAGAGGTGAGGTTCAGTTCCCTCAAGGAGGTTAAAGTGCATTCTATTTTAAAAAGTTTCTGTAGTTCAGTGAAATTGGGAAGATCTAGGTTCAATGAAAGTAGGCAGATTGAAGGTAGGACTTCTTGCCCTCAAGTAGATGGAGCATCTTCCAAAAATAACAAATTGCGCAGCGCTTCTCCAGCTTACCTGACCTCAGGACCCTCCCTGCGCACTGGAATCACTAATACAACAAGCTCATAGGAAGCCAGCAAACCACAACCCCTAGCTGGGGAGACCCTGCTCGGAGACAACTTTTTAAGAAAGGTGCCTTATCTGGAAAGAGAAGTTCAAACAGAGCCTGATTGTGTGGGTTAATAATTGTCAGGCTCTGAGAGGCAGGTCAAAGGGCAAAGTCATGGGAAAGGACAGGACAGCGGAAGTTGAGCACTGTGGTACCTATACGGTGCTGGGTTGGAATCACCCATTTATCAGAGGTTAATGTGCTGAGGTTAAGGACTGTTAATGGTCCTAACCAGTGCCCTAGCTGGAAGTCAGCTTATCCGATAACCCTTTCCCCAGAGAAAGGAGGGGCCCATCTAAGCCTGGGAGTGAGATGAAGAGAAGCCAGGACTAAATCCCGAGCAGGTGCCTGAGAGGCAGAGTGCCCCCTGACGGTGCTCAACGGCTTCTACATTCACCTTGACCATGGCTGGAGAAAAGCGGCTGGATGTGATCTGATATGGAGTAAGGAAGTACAGTAGGTTCTGGAACAACAGTGAGCCATGATGTGCCTGGCACCAGCAAAGCAGGCTCACTGTGGGGAGCCTTGTGAAGGACTGTGGGAGCCCCTGGGGGAAGCTGGGTGACCATCTTCTTCAAGGGCAATTTGCCCTCCCATGGCCAAGTCACTGTCAGTATAGCCCTTGAGCAAACCTCCTGGGTTAGTGTTCGAGTTCTTGTTTGTTATTAGGTATAAACCCACCTGAGGAGAGGTCAGTCAGTTCAGTCGCTCAGTCATGTTCGACTCTTTGCGACCCCATGGACTGCAGCACACCAGGCCTCCCTGTCCATCACCAACTCCCAGAGCTTGCTCAAACTCATGTCCATTGAGTCAGTGATGCCATCCAACCATCTCATCCTCTGTCGTCCCCTTCTCCTCCTGCCTTCAATCTTTTCTAGCATCCAGGTCTTTTCAAATGAGTCAGTTCTTCGAATCAGGTGGCCAAAGTATTGGAGTTTCAGCTTCAGCATCAGTCCTTCCAATGAACATTCAGGACTGATTTCCTTTAGGATGGACTGGTTTGATCTCCGAGGAGAGGTAGAGAGACCAATGGACAGGAGGCCAGGAGGCCTGGTTTCCGGTGGTGGCCCTGACTCGATCTACATTCACCTGAAGTCATGGCACCTCCCTGGGGCTTCACATCTATGTGGTAGCTGAGGGTTTCTGGACTGGATGTGTTCTAAGGTCGCTTGTAAGCTTTGACATTCCAAAAACATCAATAAAGTGATTGCCAAACATTCCTTTGTTGTTATTCCTTTGGCTTAGAAACTGCCATTTCTCCTAAGTTGTAAGCAGTTTAACCTTATAATAGGTCAGGCCTCTATGGGGCAGAGTTGCAGGCTAGCTTCCTGAGAAAAGGAGCTATGTGTCCATCTTTGAATGTTCAGAGCACAGTGCAGGAGGAGGGGCTTCCCTGTTGATCCAGTGGTTAAGAATCCACCTTGCAATGCAGGGGATGTGAGTTTGATCCCTGGTCGGGGAACTAAGATCCTACATTCGGTGGGGCAACTAAGCCCATGGGCCACAACCACAGAGCCCAC